ACGTCAACGGTCAATTCCGCTATCTTCTAAAATAGGAAGGAAATTAGGATAATACCTAGGAACCACCTAAGAACTACGACAGATATTAAGAACTTATTAGAGAATTCCACCGCCGAAATCCAGACCGTCCAAAGCCGACACATTAAATCCGCTAGGAAACGGATCGACCTCCTAGAAGGCAGGTATCCGCGCGAAATCCACCGGCTCCGACGTCTCAGGAGGCGCAGCAGAACCAGCCCTAGGAGAACCCACATCCGCAGGACCCACAGAGGTATCAGCTAAGGACTCGCCACGCAAGCGCTTTACATACCGATCGTCACCCTCATCCTTAGGGGCAACGGTATCCCTAGCCTCACGAGCAGCCTTAAGACGCTCAATCTCCTCTAAATCCTCAACCGTCTTCGCCTTCTTAGAAATCATTAGATTACCGCGACGCTTCAGTAAATCACGCTATTTACGAACGCGCTAAAGACGGCTTATATTCTTCTATAATAAATCCAGCACTATTTACTCTTCGGATTCCGTCTTATCCAGGGCACGCCGCAACCGGACAACTAAGACAAGTTAGTACTATACGAACAAGAAAAGGAGGAACCAATAATCAGAATCCTCCAGACCACCACTATCACAACCTATTAGGCCCCGACGCGTACATTCGCCGCAACGCTTATAACCTAAATCCATCTTGTAAACGACCTCACGATCGCTCCCCTTATAACGAATATTCCACAACATACATTCCATATAAGGAACAGGCATCGTATCCCCAAGAAGGTCAATCTTAGAAGCTAGAGACTCACGCTCAGCCTTCTAGTCGCTACGCTTGCGTTTCTCGCCGGCCATAGTGGAAAGACTTACAAAAAGAAAAGAATAAGGAAACGACACGAACTCCTAAATATATAGCCAAAGGGAAATCTTCGGGCCGAAGATCCTTAAGGAGGGGGATAGTATTATAGACCTCAAGGGAAATCAACCCGCAGGGTCAGGAAGACCTTATAGGAGAAAGGCCCACACGGGCCTAGAGAC